TACCAGGCCAAATATCATTGCCCCAAAACTCGATTTTGTTATCTCTAATCAGATGTTGAGTCATGTTTGCTCGCATACACGGTGCTTTATCGTGAACAAATATCACATTATCCAGATCAATTACGTTTTCCTCGTCGGTGAGGAATGGAAATACGTGTTGCATTAAAATAATGTCACGAAAATATTGACCGGTCCAAGATTCACCTTTGTCTTTAATCACCCAATGCATTTTTTTCGCGGTGAAAATGATAAAAATACCGATACACGCTTGGTTTTTAACCATTTCGCGATACCTTTCATCGTCTTCAATATCTTCAACACTTTTTGCCCAAATCCTATCATTTTGATAATTTGGTTTGCGAACTGTCCAAACATAAAATTCATCTGATGGTGCCAGATGAAGAAAATCTTCTTCAGTCCAATCTTTCAACCAATCACAGAGCCATAATCGATCTGATATATGAGTTTCAGATTTTAACGGTCTTGAAATAACATGAAAAGGCTTTAATCCTTCCCTACGACGGTAGTTATTAACTGTTTGTCGAGTAACATATTCTTTTTGTTTCTTTGCAATCTCTTTCGCCACGACAGAACCGCTTTTCCGTTGGTGACCACTTGCTTCACGAATAATGTCCTGAGCAGCTCTCGATAACTTGAGTTTAGGACCAGCATTCGAATAATCAGCAAAACATTGGTCACACGATTTTTCCCACCATTCTGTAACAAATCGAGTCGTACGGTGAATTTTGTCGGCAATCCATTGTCTATTTATAAATGTTGCACCAGCATCACGAGCTTCTCGGAAAGTAATGCATTTAATTCTATCAATCATTCTTTGTTGTTCGGTATCATAAGCGCCAGCCATTTGAAATAACAAACGAAAAAACACTGAGATTTCACTCGACTATAACTTTCAGACAGTCCGAGAACGAAAAAATTTTTCAAATAACTAGTATCACGTGGAGAGAAGAACAGAACGCCAAAGAACCATCTTATTGTGTGAGTCATAGTCATATATCATCATCGTTATCATTTCTCTTTCGTTTTCATAAAAAATGTTCGTTTTCAATGTCTCAAAATGTATGAAAAATGATTTTTAACGTGTTTTTGAAAGAAAATTTCGTTGTTTTTAAAAATTTGGTACACGAAAGTTCTTCAAAGTCTTACTATTTACTATCACTAAACCCCATTTTTCACGGGCTTTCATTTGGTATAAAATTCATGATATCTCCGATTCGAGATCATACTGTTACCCCCCTGGAATAATATTATTTACCACCCTGTATATCGAATCATTCTACTCAAGAATCAAGTCACTACATCAAGATGGAAGCTTAGTAACTGTATAAGCTGTTCGTAGCGACGAAAGCCAAAACTAAATAAGCCATTCTTTAGAGACTTCAATTCGGTAACGAATGGTATGTTACTCAATATTTTTTTGCCAAAAATGATTGGTTAAGAAATTCAAAATTCAATTCTTGAAAAGTTTAAAACCTGGTTTTCGATGCCAAAATTCAACTAAAGAACAATGTCAACTTCGTAATTAGTGTGAAAAAGTGCATTCAATAATACATTCAGATATGTTTAACTTGAAAAAAACATTTTCCTAAAGCTTGATCAGTGAATTGTCGAGTTATCTCGACGCGTCGTAATACAAATAATCATGACTAGAATGCATTTCGAACTGTCTACAAATCTCATTAGATGGATTTTACTAAATCTGCATCCAATTCTATTTAAAGATTTTAAAATTTCAACAGAATACTTTCAATACTCGTCATAAACTGAGTTACACAAATTCGAGTGTGTCTATGTTAAATTTTGAGTAGCGTATATCAAGCCAATTACAACGCTTGTTGACATTGATGAATCTTGTTTTCAAAGGAAATCAGTTGTTATGCATCTGTATGTTTTATGTTGTAGTGGTATGAGAAATAGAGGAAAATGATATGCAGTATGTGGTATTTATTTTTACATTACTTCTATAAATCATTACAATAAAGAATTCAAAATTTACAGAAATTGTGCCGACATGAAATAAACTTGAGTTCATTAAATTGGATAAAAAGCATGTTGAAATGTTGTTTTGTTTGTCGACTAAGTTGGAAATGTAGTGCTATGTAGTCTTGTTGTAGATTTTTTACCTGTTCACGAACTGCATATGTCAGTACTTGTATGCATTCTTTCTTTTCTAATTACGTCATAACTATTTTTACATGTCTTGAATACTAAACGCAAATGAATGACTCACTACCACATGATTCAGCCTCCTAACAACATCTATTTTGACCATTATTATACTTAGTAATTATGAGGTGGATAAAGGCCATTTCGTATGAAGGCCACTTTACTGCATGTAGATCATCTTCGTGCCACTATGAATATATATAAAAAAAACATTGTTCTATACGTTGCAACATCGTTGCTGGCTACGTTGAAATAGCTATTGAATTGATATTTATTGTTTGGAATGCCACTTGTTTTTATTGATAAAGAGTAACTGTCTCTGTAGACGTCATACGATGGTACAATCGTGGTCTCCTCCACACATGAATAATCAGACATATATGATAGAAATCGACATGGATGCTATAAAACAAGTAGCAAAATCCAATATTTGCATAGCATCACAAAATTTTATTAAATTTGAAAACTATTCAATGACTTCAATAATCTGATAGACAACGAAATATCCTTAATTCATTTCAAAATACTCCGTCGCAACTATTCCTTCATTCATATATCTGTCATGGCTTACATGTTGTTCTTTACGAAAAAATAAATATTGTCATGTTATGCAAAATGTTTTCAGTAAAAAGTCCTATGTGTGAGGTTCGAAACCGACTTGATATTCTAAATTTGACTGTTGCACATATGTCTTGACAAAACAGCCTATTTTTCAATGTTACAAAATATAAAAACAAAAATTATCAAGAAGATTTATCAAATAAAATGTGATCATAATATGAAACTGTTCAAATGATTAAGAGTCATCTTTGGACGTTGATGAAATGATTGCTTCTGTCGATTGCGTCGTATTATTAATGTCAGGATTCTACAAAATAGAATAAGCAAATCAAATAAAATCAGTCAATATTTTTAAAAACAAGTCTCATTGGATTCACACAAGAAGAAACGTGTTCCAGTCTGAGTTCTAATGAATTTTATTCACGTTGCAATCTCACAAGTGAATGGACGAACGATTACTTTTCCCTCTTGGTTTGTCTCTTTCTTGAGGTTTTGTGCTTGTTGTTGTTCAGCACTTTCAGCCGGTGGTGCTGATTTACGGGCTGCCATTGTAGCCAATATTTTTCGTGGAGCTTTGCCACCAGTCGACATACGAGGTATTTGTTTTTTACGAGGCATCAATTATGTTAAAATCTAAAAGAGAATATAAACAATGCACCATATTTTCTACAGTCATTTGTTTAATAATGTTAGTTGACAATGATGTTGTAAAGAATATTTTGATAGTTTATTTCGTTTATTAGTAACCTGTATTGATTTGAATCTTAGCATATCGAATACCCCTATTTTTTGTTTCTTTATTTTGTATCATGGACATTGAGAGCAACATATTGATATTTTACATGTGCGTCTTTATTTTCTCTCTTTTCTTCTGCTGTTGTTATTAGTGAGATTGATGAAGACAGATACTGTCAGAATATAGAAGAGAATATAAAAAAAATACATTATTCATTCTGCTTTGCTCTTTTTCTCTTTGTTTTTTGGTTCGATATATTTTTCGGTTGCCTATTTCGGTGTATAGAATAAAAAAAAAACAAAAGATTCTCTATTCAATAAAATCTTTGTTTGGTTTCTCAAAAATATAGTACTGCTTACAATTATAAGACCAAGATAAGATGCGATGCAAAAGTAAGGGTGCAAAATGTTGATTCTCATTTCACTTCGATATAAATGTTTCGAAAAGAATATTTTTTTTTAATCAGTTAATAGGAAATTTTCTTCTCGTTCGACTGGTTTATGACTAATATTTATCATACATTCGTAAATGAAATAACACGACAATAAAAAAGAGTACCACTCAAGCAATAAATTTGTAACTCGTCAAAAGCATCTTGTTAGACAATAATTAATTCAATTTTTGCGAACTCATGAAACAGATCTTGTAAACCGATGGTTAATTGAGCTTCTGTGAAATTCTTCAAAACATTCTGCAAACGACATTTATTTAAAATTAGCTGTCATCTGTAAAATGCTTTTGATAAATCCATATAAAAATTGCAAATTTCTTACGCCAAAGTTTCTTTGTTTTCTCGTCTCACTTCACTTACCAATGTGTGACCAATATGAACCATACATGCTTTAAAAGAGGAAAAAATTTTTTTTTCAGAATCTATTTACCGAAGAGATATAAGGATCAACATTGTATGCGATTCTTTCATAGAAAAAGTGCGTTTTTTTTTCTAAGGGTGCTTCTCTTTTCTACTACGTCATTTCGTTTATACGTGTATTATAAAAATAAGTTATAGACGATTCGATAGAGAAGAAAAAGTTCTATCTTTTGGTAAAAAAGTTTTCTTTCAACACCCTTTTATCAAAGAGAAATAAAGATCGATATTTTGTGCCATGACTTCTGCATCGTATATTATTTTTCAATTTTACTGTAATTGTTGAGTATCAACTAAAATACAAATAGTGATTTGAATGATCATTAGAGTTCTCTATCCAATGAATTGGAGAGCATCAATGACTATTTAGATCACTACCTAGGTTAGACAGAACAGTCGTCAATGGCTGAAAAATAGATGTAGGTGTGGAATGTAGGTGGATTTTAAATATACAAGTCATATTTTAATAGTCACACCCACATCGGACACTTATCACATATTCTTCGTTCAAAATTTCGGTCAGTGTGATACAAACAAAGAACCGATAGCATGTTTTTGTTTGTTTCCTTATCGATATAAACTATCATTTGACTACCAGTACTCTCATTGATAGGAAAATAGAACACACTTTGGATCTCAATTTTCATCATGAATATTCGTTCGGCTACTACATCTGATGTTGAAGCAATCGTCCATGTTCATTACGAAGCTGTTCATGGAACCAAACCTGCAAACTTCTATACACAGGACATTATACAAAACTGGTCGCCATCACCGACAGACGAGTTTCGTTTAAATCAATTTCGTCATAAAATAGATAGTGGTGACCAAATATTTGTTGTTGCTGAATTAGAGAACAAATTAGTTATAGGATTCGGATCAATAATTCCTTCGCAATACGAGATTTGCGCTCTTTATGTTGATCCAATGTACGGACATCAAGGTGTTGGTACAAAGATTTTGGAACATCTCGAAACATTGGCCTTGTAGCATGGTGCAAATACCATCGCAATAAAAGCTTCACTCAATGCTGAAGCTTTTTATTTGCAACATGGATATTCGTTAATACAACACGACTATCATTGTTTAAGCTCAGGTGCGCAAATGGAATGTGCCAATATGAGCAAGGAACTACATAAAAAATAGAGAAGAAGGAATATTGACTTTGTGGGTGTAGGTGTGAGCGATTGTCTCTGTTTTCTACGTGTATATACATCTATCTCCACAAAGAAACAGTCACATACAAACTTACATGATGCCAACGTCCAATCAATAAAAATGAACTTTATTGTATTTTATGTGCTTTAACATGTTTTCTTCGTAGCTTCTTGCTTCTTCAATCGACCAAAACAGAACGTTGAGGATTCTTCGCCGTTTGATGACCGTGTATCAATGAGTTGAGAAAGAGAATTAAATGAGACAGCAGATTCGAATTATGAAAATGGACGGAGAAGATTGAGAAAATTTTCACTGGATTTATGGAAATGGGTGTGGGTCTGGTTGTGGGTGTAGAAATGGCCCACTCTTGATTTTGCTGAAGAAAGACAAAATCATCGAGATTCGTATTCCATCTTAAAAACGAGAGATATGACAGTACTGTTGTTACTTGGACGTCGTCAGTGGCACTTTTTTCAAATCTATGGCATGGGAGATGTTTCAAGATTACTCTCACGACAGCTTCCTTTTTAGAAAAATTGTAAAATTGCACAAATTAGCGTCTGCAAGTCCACCAGTAATCCTCGTGGAGAATCTGATGGATTCAATCCAATTGTGCTGATTAGTACAGTAGCGGAAGAAGGTCTTGAAGAATTTCTCGAAAAATATCGTTACATCGGCAGATTTTCATTCGATATGAACGTTTATGAATCTTTCATGAGAATCATTATCATTTTTAATGCTTATAAAATTCTACGTTTCAATTCTTCTTTTTGCAAAAGACAAAGTCAACATAATATTTCTTAAATATAAAATTGAAGTAACATAGAAACACTCTACTTAAAATATGACTTATGAGAACTAAATAGTCGTATATCATTCTACAGATTGATTTCAATATTTGTCTAACAGAAATAAGAAATTGACTATGAAAAGTAATAGATACATTAACATCTAATAATATTAGATGTGTTTAAAAATGATCAACTGTAAAATCGTGTCAAAGAACTTTTTTTTTAATACTCATTTAGCAAAACTCGATACTAACATATCACTATTCGCCTAGATGTCATTCAAATCCGTTTGTCACTGTCGCTTTTTCTATCAAAATAAAAGAATTCGATGATTGTGTATTTAGCTTAACAAATGGTTGAGAACCAAGATTTGAATCATATTGTTCATTCACTAAAGTCATGGATTGAGTGATGTTCAATATATATAAAAAGTTTTACTTTCTTAGATTCAATGGATCATTGGAATATTTCAATATATTTGAAAAAAAAAAACATTTATTTTCTAATTGTCAATCATATGCTAAAGTATAATAAGAAAATATTTTATTCTTATTAATTAAGTGAATAACAACAATGATCAATTAGGAAAATAGTTTAGAAGAAAATTTTATTTTATTCCATATTTGTAGTGGTGATGAACAAGAATATCCTCTGTCCACGTGTATTCGATATAGCATTGAGTGAGTTTCTTTTTACGTATTTTATATTCGATCAAAATATTATTCTTGGATTTTAGTTATCATACATTTATAATTTAAACTCATTTAATATATCAATATGAATGTATCTGTCATTTGAAAATAAAACAAAATTTTATGTTGAGGTTTGATTAAAATTCATTGTTGGCATGAAATATACATTTTTCACTGTGAATTGTAAAGACTTTACTGATTACCTCACTACTCATCATCATTGATGTCTTAAATATAAATTTTGATCTACGCAAAAATCCAAAACTGCAGTATTTATAACACTTAAGCTTCGAGGAAGAATTTGAGAATGTTCTAGAATAGTCGAAGTCTTGTTGTTAATACAGTTCAAAACCTTTTTCGCTGCTAGAAAACTGAGAAAGGAGTCCGATGCCTATCATCCTTGGTTCGTATGTATATGCACTCAATCGCTGTTAACCTTACTTCTCCCGTCACTATGAGGGATAGTGACAACATAATGTGAGCTTCACGAAATGACATATCAAATTATGTGTTTTGTTTGAGTTCGGATAGCTAGAAATATGATTTTACTTAGCACTACAATTCGAACATCTGAAAAATTGTTCATAGTATCACTCTTTTAATGAGAAATCAATTAATCCGGATTTAATGGCGAACTGATGCATCAACTCGATTACGTCCCAAGTTAACAATCTGATTCTTTATCTGATTCGTCATTTATTCATATCATTTACTTGAAGCCGATGTCAAATGATCATGATTGTTCAAAATAGATTTTATTTTTTAAATTATTAATAACTAATTTTAACACATGCATAATTTGAAAAATGTTTAATAAACATAAAATGACAATATGCAGACGATAAAAATCAATAATTTTTTTTCTTATAGATGTCAATTTGAAAAATATTCACAAGATGAAATCCGTCATATTAATTTTCGGAAAGAAATAAATTAAAATTATAATAATCTAATAGTAATGAATATCAATGATGAACAATTGGCAAAGAAAAACATTAACAAAAATTCTATCGAAATGAACAATGAGTATGTTGATTTTGATTATTAGATTATCATTCAAACGTTTTTCGTAATCAGAGTATTTATAAGATAAATTATGTAGGTAAAAATAAGAGTAAAAGTCGAAATAGCTGATGAATAACTGAGAGATTTTTCACAATTTTTAGAGTTTTGATGTAAACATACTAATTACATATTTAACTTTTCCAGAAATTTATTAAGGGAATACTTCAAACTTTATTAATTTGAAATGATTCTAATAATTCATCAGATCCAAATTAAGTCTTAGATTTTTTTTTAAAAATAACTTTGACAACATTCTACTACTTTCTATTATTTCAGAATGAATTCACATCTTTTGAATGATGAACCAATGTCATCAATAATTACAATCAACAATCAAGAAACATTGAAATTCGAACCAAATAATGTACAGAAAAATGATAAACCTTTATCATTAATCTTATCATTGAAAATAAATGATCGGTTCTTATTAAAAGAAAAACATCAAAATAATCATCGATCCAATTTCGAAATACTTTCAACGACTGATGATACAAAATCAATTAAAGATTTCAATAGAATTAATAATCATTTTATAAATACAAACTATAAGAACCAATCTATAATTTCTCTGAATAATAATACACACGAATCATCATTCACTACTACAAATGATAGATTTCAACCTGCACGTAAGTTTCTATTAAAAAACAAACGATTACTTCTGAAATTTAATTACTAAATTCTTGACTTGAGAGAAAAGATACTTTAAACTATTCTAACATGATTGATGATAATTTTTAAAAAATTAATAACAGACTTAGAAATAAAAACTAGTTAGTCTAAAGTGAACATACTTTTCTTCTCAAAATTTTCGTATGAAAATTGTAACATCTAATAAATCCTTCAATACTTGTTCTGTTGCTTTCTCGAGTCAATCACTAACACTTTTTTTTTGGATTATCTGTCTTGAACTATGTACTGCTTGATATCATTTATAAGATAAATCGTTTAAAACCAAAGAATAGTTAGCTATAATTTCTAGTCTCTAGCGTCATCCCGCGTATCTCTAATCTAACATTCATATATTAAGTTTGCTAAAAATAGAAATAAAATTTCATTCAACTCAATCATTATCAGAATCTATTTCAATAACAAATGATCACAATACATCTAATGACATATTTATCGACGAAATCTTCCTTGCAGAAAATTACAAACAAGATTCGAACAAATTTAATGATTTAAATAATCTCTGTCCACTGGAAACTTCATTAAATGATATTGATAATACAGAACAACCAATAAAAATGACAGCAAACAATATACATTCTCTTAGATTATCTCTATCAAGAAAGCCAAATACATTGTATAAAGTTTCTGATATAAATTCGCATCAATTATCAAATAATAATCATTCAATAATAAGTTCTATTAATGAAAGAA